CTGAGTTTGGATAAAGAAAAATGGCCAATTTACACCAGCACTAACCATGAAACTGAGAAACTTCCAGAACTTCGTAAACAAACAGTATTAACTACAACCGAATTAGACAATTTTGACATCTTTGAGCGATATTCCAGTCTGTACAGGCTACAATGCGTTACAGCTTACTGCCGCCGGTTCTTTTATAACCTTAAGTCTAAAAACGGGTCAAAATTAAGCGGCAAAATATCTACGGAAGAAATGGATAGCGCACTAATTTGCTTAATTCGTTTAGCCCAAAAACAAAGTTTTAATGAGGAAATTAGGTATTTAACCACGGGTAAAGTCTTAAAAAACAAAAGTAACTTACTGTGCCTCAACCCTTTTGTCGATAGTAACGGTTTATTGCTACTTGGTGGCAGGTTAAAAAATGCGGACATATTGTATTCTCAGAAACACCCCATTCTGCTACCTCAAAGTCATCAATTAACTAAACTTCTAGTTCAATATGAGCATGTTAGGCTACAACATGCTGGGCCTCAATTAGTGTTATCTACCTTGAGATTAAAGTACTGGATCATCAATGGTCGAACAGTCGTACGAGGTGTGCTCAGAAAGTGCGTAAAATGTTTTCGCGCTAAACCTTCATTTTCTGAACCCATTATGGGTGATCTTCCTAAACATCGAGTCACACCAACTCGCCCCTTTTGCAACTGTTCGGTCGACTTTGGGGGTCCTTTTAAAATAAAGGATGGGATTACAAAATCCCGAAAATATGTCAAAACATATATTTGTTTATTTATTTGTTGCAGTACAAAAGCCATACATATTGAACTGGCAGGTGATCTTTCCACCCCCTGTTTTCTTAATTGTTTAAAACGCTTCATAAGTAGAAGGGGCTTCGTAAAAAATATTTGGTCTGATAATGCTACAAACTTTGTAGGAGCAAATAATGAAATCATTAGCATATTTGAAAAGGTATCTAACAGCTCTGTCTCCAAATATTTATTGGAAAGTCGAGTGAGTTGGCACTTTATTCCTCCTCACGCTCCCAATTTTGGCGGCTTACACGAGAGAGCAATTGGCTCTTGCAAATTTCACTTGAATAGAATAATGGCTGACGTAAATTTGCATTATGAATCTTTTCTCACCATATTAAATCAAGTTGAAGCAGTCCTTAACTCCAGACCTCTAACTCCTTTGTCTAGCGACCCTACTGACCTTAACCCCCTTACCCCTGGTCACTTCCTAATTGGTGCGCAACTAATGGCATTGCCTGAGGATAACCTTCAAGACATTCCTACAAATCGTTTATCAAAGTATCAAGTGCTTGCCCAATGCATTCAAAAATTTTGGAATCGATGGCATTTAGAATATGTGACAAATCTACAACAGAGGAGTAAAAACAAGAAATCACATGGTGCTGCTCTCAAGGTTGGTGATATGGTAATCTTAAAAGAAGATGGTCTGCCTCCTATGCAGTGGTGTTTAGGAAGAATAGTCGAAGTATTTCCCGGCAAGGACAATGTTGTGCGTGTCGTGTCAGTAAAAACTAAAGGCGGACTTCTAACCCGTGCCTACTCCAAAGTAGCAGTTTTGCCAATTGAAGACTAGAGTAATTTACGTGACAATTTGTGTTCGTCCTTTTTGTGTTGAAAGTGGATCCTTTCAAGAGGGCCGGCTTATGTCCAATTGCAAATTAAGTAATTGATAAGACGCCCTGTATTAACAATATAATAAGTGCGTACATACGCGGAAGTGAAGGAAAAACAATTGCGTTGCGAGAGTCAAATAAGTCGGTCGATAGGAATGATAAAAATAAAACTAAGAACACAAGTGCAGTGCAGTTTTTCCCCGTTCAACTAAACCACCCTATGGAGTGAAAATGCTTGAGGGCATCTTCATCATACAGTCCACACTCTAAAGAAAGTAAGTTTTTCTTCGAGCACCACGAAGACTCCTCAGCGTGTTAAATAAAAAAATTATAATAATTAAAATCTTAAAATTTCAAAAGATTTAACAAACATTAATGCGTTGAAAGGTCCTACGAAAATAAGTTGAAAATGTTGAATAATAATTTTTTTGTACATTGTAGTATCATAATATAGTTAATGTTACAAACAAATTATGTTAATTTCAATATAATACATTAGTTTAAATACCTTCTAAACAATATTTGTTAAATATTTGAGTACAGAAAATTTTTAAACAAATTAAAACGATTGAGTATTTTTTATTCAATTTAACTTAAATATAAATGTTATTCTTCTAATTCGCTAATTTTCGCCTTCTTTCGATTAAAAACGGTACCCTGCAAGGCCCTTTGTCTTCTGGCCTTATTTAAAATTATGTTGTATACAATATAATAAATCATTATTATTACATACTTACATGTTTTATTTTTTGTCCAAAAACAATTATTAATGTAAAAATTAATTAAAAAATATTGTTAAAATAACAAATTAAAATAAATAAATGAAGACATACTATTTGTGTAAAATAAAAAGAAAGTTATTTGTTAACGTAACACTTTTTTGTGTAAAATAAATAAAATATAAATAAATTTAACATACGAGGTGTGTTCAGAAAATATCGGGAATTTTCGTTTTTTGAAACAAATATTTATTTATTCGTCTACATTAATGTTGTCGCCTTCAAAATAGTTCCCATTGGATATTATGCACATGTGCCAGCTCTTCTTCCAATACTCGAAACACTTCTAAAACTCGATCTTTGGGGTAGCCTTTAGTTCTTTCAGCGATGCGCTTTTAATGTCATCTATGCTTGCAAAACGACGGCCCTTTAAGGTTCTCTTTATTTTTGGGAATAGGAAAAAGTCAGACAGAGGCATGTCTGGCGAATATGGAGGCTGGGGCATCAATACAGTATTGTTTTTGGCCAAAAATGTTGTTCATAATTTAACAATTTTAGAACAAATTTTGCTGCCACGCGTTTTATACCCAAAACATTCGAAAAAATTTCATGGGATGAGCCAATCGATATACCAACATCATCAGCGACTTCTCTGATGGTTTATAACCATTTCTTCCACTTTTTCCATGTTTTTATCGGTTGTTAATGTGCTTGTGCGTTCGGGGCCTTCGTCATCTTCAACGTCTTCACGGCCATCTTTGAAACTTTTATACCACTTGTAAACTCTTGTTTTACTTATAGCAGACTCAATATAGGCCTTTGTTAACATTTTACAGAATTTATTGAATTTTTTAAGCAAAATTGGATACAAATTCTTTGATCCATTTCTTTCGAACGAACGAAAATCGCCGAGCTCATAAAACTCGTCTAACCTTAGCGGCTGCCACAGACAAAGTAAACAATGAAAACAGATAAAGTTTTTATCATACTTCGGGGGCATGCATACCAACATAATAAAGAAAATTTTATGACAACCGGACCCTCCGAACCCGCAAAATTTAACAATTCCCGTTATTTTCTGAACACACCTCGTATTTAATTATGTTAAAGTTATACACGATTTGTTAAATTAACTTTGCTTTGTAAAAAAATAACATATATTAATTTTCTTTTACACATTCTGTTGTGTTAAAAATTAACATAAGTAATAAAAAATTTCAATGGACTTTCTGGGACACAAGAAATATGTTAAATATATCTACATATAAATTTTTTACTGTGTAATAAGCACAAGTTGGGTTTTTAGAAACTTTTTATTAAGTAAGTGTAAATTCTACAGACGATTTTATTTATCCGACATGAATAAAGCAATCTAAAAATGTTGTATAAGTTCAAATATAAGATTTGGGATTTTAGCTTTTAGAGCTTTAGTTCATCCATCCATTTTCGTTTTTTATGATATAATATGAAAAATAGAAGTGTTAAAAAACTTTTAATATTTAATATAAAATTATAATATAAATAACAAAAAAACATAATATCTACTCGTATAAAAAAACACAATGGAGTATTAAAATCTAAACTTTTTTTATTAAAATCATTTAGAAACACCCTTTATGATTTTGTACTGAAAAGTTCATTATAATACATATAATACATATAATATATATAACATATATGTACATAAATTGCGTTCTGACAATTTAATTTCTTTTTTTATTAAAAACAAAAATAAATAATTATTTTTCGCTGAATTGCTGACTTTAATGAAAACAAGCGAAAAATTTAATATTTTTAATATTTTTTAACTCAATTAAAGGTCATATTTTAAATTGTGTTTTACCAATTCAAATTTGCCTGGGTATTTTTAGCATTAATTTTTACTATTGTTTGTTAAAAAAATATTTTTCGAATATCATGTTTTTAATTACAGATTGAGCCAGTAATAATAATAAACATCATTTCAATTAAAAATAAAAATGAGTTTATAATAATATAAAAATAAAAAATATAAAACATAAAAATTTCAAAACAAATTTTACCTGGAACAAATAACAAATGTGAGTTTCTCTGAGAATAAACTTTTAAATTAGAATTTAAGAAAAAATAATATGTTTATGGTAATTTAATAATTAGTTATCTTTTCTAAATTCTTTTTGTAAAGTTTATTCTCAGAGAAATTCATTTTTTTTGTAATTTGGTCTCTAAAAAATTTGTTTTACTATAGGTAGATTTTTCTTTATTTTTGTTCAGATGAAGTGCTTTTTATTTCCAAATCACTTTTTTTTAAGTGGAATAATGTTTCTCGTAATTACTAAGTGATTCCATATAAGTTTATATAAAAGTTTTTATAAAATTTAGATGTTTAATATTTTCTTTGAGTAGGTACTTCAATAGTATTTTTGATAAAAACAAATAAAACGTATATTGGATTATGTTATGTAACATAAAAATATCCATATTATTTGATTTTATGTTCGTTATGAAAAAGTAGGTATATCGCATTTTGATTAAGTCTTCTCCATACAATTTTAACAGGGGCTTCTTTAACAATGAGTATACGATGAATATAAAATGATTTTCCTACATATTTTTATTTACGCATCAAATATAACAACCTAACATATTTTTCAATTATTTATTCACAGGAGATCCACCCCACATTATTGAGAACTCATGTTAAATCTAGATTATCTAAAGTTGCAGACGGAACAAATATTGATTGGTCCACTGCTGAAGCATTGGCTTTAGGCTCTCTGTTATTTGAAGGTAAATATAAACGCAAGCATGTCTGGTATTAGCTTAAAGCCTAGATTAATTATAATTATAAATAAATAGTGATCCTGGCCCATTCCCCAGTTTTATTTTTATGAAATGGTTTTTCCTATGCAGTATTTAAACCCTAACATTTTATTACTTTTCCCTTACAAGGGTAGGTCAATAATTTTTCTGTCAAAGAACCAAGTGTATGTCTTTTGCCTATTTTGCGTTTTTTGAAGACCGAAAATGTATCAATCCAAACTGATTGTATATTGTTTTGTAGAGACTTATTGACTTACCCTTGAGAAAGGACAATTTTGATTTGGTTTTAATTTAATTAATATTATTAATTTATTTTTATTCCACCGAACTTTACGTATATTAATTAACAAATAAAGTTGTTATTATCACCTTATAAAATCCAAAATCAAAACCACTTACCAACAATTAAAAATGTTCATTCACCAGATGATCCAATAATTAATTATCAAGGAGTTTAGATTTAACTCTGGTAACCCGGGATTAAATCATTTCAGAATTTAATTCCATAGTGGGTTCTAAAATGTAATATTGCATTTTAATATTAAATTTATCCTTATTAGTTGAGCAACTGTATAAGGGAATAAAAAGCTATAGAGGTCAATAAATTATAAATACAGAGGATATTTTCGATAATACATTCTAGCAGAACATTTCGATCCACTTCTCCAATACAATAAACCATATTTATCATTTCTTGTATATAGCGTGAATGCCATTTTAACTGAACAAATACTAGAAAAAGTGACACAATTAGGTTTTAAACAATTTTTGCTATTGGTCTCCATGGATACGTCAAAATAATTTTCTTGTCGATTTCTCAGATGTTTTGATAAATTATGTACAGTTAAATAACAAATTGTGAAATATCTTTGTTATTATTAACTTTAGGTAGGTATAGGAAATGGTTATCCCAATAATAATAAATTTTATTCTGCAAAAAGATACATAGTGTTCCATTAAAAATATACTACAGCCGCCACTGTTATAATTCCCCTTTAATAAAAAATACAAATTACAAGAAGTAAAAAATATAGTTATTCTTGACACAGAATATATCTATATATTGCGTTTGCGTTTTTGAAGCACAAATTGTTTTATGCATGTTAATTTGACATAGTAGACGAGAAAATCGAATTATACGAGGCGAAAACGTTCGAATCATAAAATCGAAGGTCACAGATTTAATCCAGATTATTCCGCCTATCTTTTTTAGCTTTATCTGTAGGTACTAAAATCATCTCGATAAAGATTTGTTTTGACAATGATGAATTGTCGAAGCTTGCACAAGCCAATTCAGTTTGGGTTAGTTAAAATGACGACTAGGGTATTAAACCGCCCATGTGAAAAACATGTAAAAGAAACTGACTTTACAATTCAGACGCTGAAAAAGTTTTATACCTATTAAAAATACTGCCAAATACAGTAGCTACTGGTATGCATGAATCAACAATTTTTCACGGGCAATTTCGCTCATCACAAATTCTATCAAACAATTTCTTTTGTTTAAGTATATTCCCGGTATAATTTATTATTATATATACAGTGTGTATTAAAACGAATAGATAACACTTAAATAAAACAAGTGCCAAACCCCGCCCACTGTGGTAGGGATTAAAAGTTATTTTCGATATTTTAGAAATATTTTTGTTTGAGAATTTATAGGTTTTATTTTTATCGAATTCGTTTGTTTTGTTTTAATGCATTTCTGCAAATAAAAACTAAGTATTGTTTAAAATCCATTAAATTCCAGTTAATGGCGAAAATCTATTTCTTAAAAACTATACACATTTCCCTACGACAGCGTCGGAGCTACTGACAGCAAACTGCATGCCCTTGTATCTGGCTGCATGCCGCGCTGTTGCCATATGCTATTATTGTTTCCTAAAAGGGTTGTTTTTCTTATTTTTTAATATTAAAAGTAAGAAAATTAACTAAATCAAATTATTTTTGACATATTATTAATTTTTTTGTTATTTTTAAAGTTTCAAACAAATAAAATTGAACTATTTATTAAATAATTATCTGATTTAAAACAACCTGGCAACTATGGTTCGTAATTACGAATGGCTTGGTTTAAACCACGCCCAATTAAAGTTTGTTTCTTTTTCTCTGAATAGAGAGAGAGAATATAATTTCTCATCCTTGTCTCCAGCCTTACTTGATTCTATACAGTCTGTATAAAGTAATAATAAATATTTAATTTTAACCTTGGACAATGAAAGAGATTGTTTTTGAGTTTTGCAATTTGGAAATGTTGGAAAGTGTGAACCATGGATACGTGTAAACACTATCATGCATATTTAATTATAAATTATATCATTCTGAAAAACCACCATTGTATTTTAATATTAAAACCGACGTATTTAATTCTTTATCAAGAAAAACCACACAAAACAAAATAAAGTTGACAATGACAGTACGGTTCACACGCTTTAAATGTTGTGGTTTTTGCAGACGGTTTTAACTGATATGTTTCCAGGTTACAACGTAAGGATAAGCGGTCAGGACGTGGGAAGGGGAACGTTCTCTCACAGGCACGTAATGCTAGTGGACCAGTCGACGAATAACTTGTACATTCCATTAAACAACATTCATCCGAATCAAAACACTTTTCTGGAGGTCGCGAACAGTATTTTATCTGAGGAAGCGGTGCTGGGCTACGAATACGGAATGAGCGTGGAAAATCCCAACAATCTGATCATTTGGGAGGCGCAGTTCGGGGATTTTTTCAACGGGGCGCAAATAGTCTTTGACGCGTGCATTTCGGCTGGAGAAGGTAAGCAATTTTCTTTCAAAGTGATCCAATTTAGGTTACCGTATTTTTATTTATTATTGTTTGGCAAGAACCGTATCAAAAGAATGCGTTACGCCCATAACTGAGACAGGCAATGATTGTGCTTGACTGTGATAGACAAGGCGATATTACTTCCCACTATGGTTTTAAAATTTTTGGAAAAATAGAGCCGGCGCACAGTGTTTCACTGTTCAAAATATCAAGGAGTAGTCGGATTCTCCTAAAAATCCGTATATAGAGGTTTTTGGGGTCGCTGATACCGAACTGATGGAGAATTCCAAAATTCAAAATGGTAGATCCAAAATAGCGGACATATTTGTGAAAAAATTGACGGAATAAATTGAAAATCACCATACAGGGGTTTTTGTGGTCGCTGTACAGGGGTTTTTGTGGTCGCTGAAAATGGCGGACATTTTTATCAAATATCGTCGAAATTAATTAAAAACCCGTAAGAGGTTCTTTTTAAAATGTAATAAAACATCTTTTTATAAAATAGCTTAATTTACTTTATTATAATTACATTTATATGATATTATTTAATACCTACATATATATTAAACAATCTCCGTCACTGGATTCGCTCGTTGTATCATTAGCAGAGCATGGGAAACCATCAGAAAATAGCAACACACTGAAAAAAAGAAACCTTTGCCCCAAGGAAATCTGCCATTCCCTCAAAGGAATGGGGACTTTGGATAGGTCCAAATGAATGAAGGGTTTAAAGCAAATACGTCATTTCTTTGAGATCATTTCATGATTTGTCTTTGTTGCAAAGAAACATGAATTTAGAAGAAGATCTTCGTTATAGGTCCTTAAATGCCGTGCTTTTATTAATAACCCGGTACTGATTTGGATCAAAGGCTTAAGTAAATTGAAATAAAGAAAAGCGGGCTTACTACAAAATCTTAGATTCTTGTTCTTAAAGAATTATGAATTTGTAGCAAAAGTCGGATGTCTGGATTTAAATCTATTGGCATTTAAGTTAAGTGATTTAATTTTTTGTAACAAAATCCGAGTTTTTATTTCAAATCCATAAGCGTTTGATTAAAAAACTTTTGTTATTTGTATCAAAACTCGGATTTCTTGCTCTTAATCTATGGGCTTTTGAACCAAAGCCCGAATGTCTTTAGCTGAAACTCTTTGATTTTAGAAAATTGCCTGCCTAAATTAAAAAAAACTACAATAATTTTTACTAAAAACATATTTTTATTAAAAATATAAAAGACATTGTTTATACAGTTATAAACATAAAATACATTGTTTATACAAAATACAAAAATCCGATTATTCTTTCACTCATAAACATAAAATACATTGTTTATACACAATACAAAAAACTGATTATTCTTAAATTCAAAGAAATTTCCACCTTGCAGCCGTAGGCTATGGTCTAGCTGGCCTTTTTAGAAATCCGCCTCTGGATATCTGTCAAGAAATAAGAAGGATATTTTCTCCTCCCAAAGATAAATTTTTTTGGAAAATAATGCCGTAAGTACTTATTTGTCAATATGTTTTAAGACTTTAACACAAAACCATCCTAATATTGAATTAATCCCAGTGCATTTGAGCCAAAACCTACATATATGTGTGTTTTATCTATGGAGGACATGACTTGCTGACATGTAGGTTTTGGCTCAAATGCATGGGGATTTATTTAATATTATGATGCTTTTGTGTTAAAGTCTTAAAACATATTGACAAATACCGCATTATTTTCTTACAAAATTTTAATCTTTGGGAGAAGGTATAGGTAGCCATTTTTATTTTCCTGTTCTAAGAAAGCGTTTTACAGAATGATAATATTTGCATGAAATAATTATATTTTAGTCGATTTTAGCTTATTAATTAGGTATTTTTCTTTATTACATTCCTAATAGATTAAAATTTTAAAAATAAGAATACATTACCTATAAAATTAAACCTCCAAATTTTGGAAATAAATGAATAATCTCAAAGTTTAAGCAGTTCCTTTATGGTACCCATAATCTCGATCTATAACACTATGGTACAAATAATCTTGATTTATAGCCATAGAAAAAGTATCACACTAGTTATTTATTCGCGCGAGATGAACACCTTTGACGAAGTACTGTGGACGCGACGCGTGGACTGATACTGAAGGACACTCATTGTTGCAAGAACTATCAAATTACCGAGTGATTTCCGACAAATGCTTTGTTCTTGAAATAAAGTTATTAAAAAGGATTTAGCCAAAAGAATCAAGAGTTTGCCTTAAATGCATCACCTATTTTAGTCAAATGCCAAAGAATTTGCAAAAAGTTAACTTTCTTTAAACTAAAAGAATAATTTTCAAATGAATGGATTCTTTTGCCTAAAATAATCCATGTTTATCAGTGTAGTTTGGCACAAAACCGTGGGATTTCTAGCAATAACATTAAATTTTGACAGAAAGACATGAATTGAAGATTTCTTTTGTCTAAATGCCTTTACTTTGCCTTAAAGTAATTAAATGTCAAAAGAATCGAGAATTACACCTAAATGCAGCAATTATCTTATCCGAAGGAAAACGGATTTAAAATAAATACAGTTTCTTTGAATTAAATCAATATTTTTCAAATGAATGGATTCTTTTGCCACAAGGATACCATTTTTATCAGTGCAGTTTTATTGCTTCGCGGGACAAAGATTTGCTCTTTTTCGGGGCAATTTTTCTGAAGCTAGAAATATACATCTTCCATCGTTTTCTCCCGAGAAACTAAACTAAAATTTAAATATAACAGATTTAATACCAAGTATTTTAAATTTGTATTATTTCTTTTACTTAATTTTTTAGCAACGATTTCTTAATTAGCTAAAAAAAAATGTCAACACAAATAACCACAATTCAAATTTGACATTAACACAATACAATGCGCATGCGGAGTTGTTTTAACGCACTTACAAGAGGTGGGTTAAATATGTAAAATCGGTGTTAAATATCTTAGTAGTCACGAACGATTTACGCAAGTGAAAGTCTGTTGTAATAAACGTTTTGAGTTAAATCCAAGTGAATCGAGTAAACGTCATGAACGCAACCCAGAAATAAAAAAAAATCTTATATTTTGTAAAGCAAAAACACAGATACGCGCTCGACATAGGCTTAAAATCGCGGGGTTTTTTACCACAACCGTGCCTGAGCGCCCAAGAACATGTAGTTTTAAAGAGCCGGGGGCAGGTTGGGGCAGATAATTTATTGATGGCTTGATAGACAAAACTCTAAGCTATTTAACGGATCTTGAACTGATGCCTTATACAATACAATAAACATATAGGTTAACCTAGAAAGAGTAACAGTCACGGAGGATAGGTTTTAGACTTTTAAAACATTGTAAAAAATAATTAATTGCGGTTAAAAATCTGGAACCTGAGCTGTAATATCTACTTAATTATGAAAGATCAAAACGCAATAAAAGTGTAGGTCAAACTCATTTAGTTTTATTAAATATCACGGGGTAACACCATCGGGGGACATTTCGTGAGATTCACCCTTATAAAATTTTTCCAGCAAAATGGTTATGGAGCAATGGTATAGTAATCTTACTGCCCCACGGATACGACGGAGCCGGCCCTGAGCATAGCTCATGCAGAATGGAAAGATTTCTGCAAATGTCGGATTCTAAATTTGACAAAGTCGATGGAGATAACATAAATATGCAAATATGTCAGCCTAGCAATCCCGCGCAGTACTTTCATTTGTTAAGACGACAGGTAACAGATTTTATTTATTTTTCTCACAGTAAATTTCTTATTTTAATAAACTTACACAGTAAAAAGTTTTGCCCGTGTAAATTTTTTAGTGTAGGGGTAAAAATATTAGAGTTGATTTGTAAGTGTAAAGGTTACACTACAAAATACACTAGGTAGCATTTAGTGCTTATTAACTTTATTAAACACATTTAAGAATATGAACATTATTCATTGGTACATTCACACTATTTATTATTAAAATAAATCAAAAGGGTAGAAAAACTTAATGCGAGTGTTTATTACCCCTTAATGTTTTAAATAGTGACAAAATGTACACTATAGTGTATACAGTGCATGTATACACTATAGTGTATACATTGCATGCCAATTTCTTTGTCTGTTTTGATGTTACTAAGAGCTCTTTTTTCTTTACACTACTAGTGCACATTGTATCACAATTAAAGCTAAATTACACCAATAGTGGCAAAATAGACTGAAAAAACTGGTAATAACCGAAATGCGTTTTAAAATGTTTGGTTGGTACCTATCTACCTACGCAGTGCATATCCGGAGATACCGCGTTGTGGAAGTGTGGCATTTTTGTTCAGTTAGATTTTAATTACGGTGAATCCATAAGGGCACATTTTAATTTTTTGGTTAGTATTATACTTCCTTTTTTAAGCCTTAATACTCAATAAATACCAATATGTTAAAAGGATGTCCATACCCGACCTATATTATATATCAATAATTTACGGCAGTATAGGTCGGGTTCTTGTAACATTAATAATAAATTCATACACACTTGATTTACTTTTTATTTTCAAGCGTAATGGTTGTTATATTAACCTTTACCTACATTTTTATTAATATTATGGAAAATTTGTACACGTGTGGTAAATCCCCGACATACAGCCGCCTGACGCCTCTCTACCCATTTTTTATAACAGAAAAATGGATTACTGATGAATTCTCAAGATAATTCATTGCTTTTAAGTTGACAGCCAGTAAAACATTGCATGGATCTAAAACTTTTACGTTTTAAGGAACCATTTTGCTTAAGCCAGCCATACGACTCAAATATAAAATTATATTATAAAAGGCACCGATTTTGATAATTATCATAGATTTTTGTTCCAAATAAATGTTTCTCTTTATTTACCTTTTCGTTTTGTTCACTACCACCAATAGGTTTAACTCCAATAATTGTGTTAATTTCCACTAGAAGTTTGCACTAAAAGAGTAAAAGTACCTTTCTAAAATTAGAACTTTTCCAATGTAGTGTTAATTTACACTGAACAAAAGTGGGATTTTACCCAGGAAGTGTAGAAGTACACGATTTTAGGTAAATTGACACTTTTTAATGCGTTGTAAAATTACTTTATTCTCAGTGCCAGTGTTAAATCATACTTGCTTACTTGGGGAAAATTACCTACAAATTAACTCTAATTTTAGTGTTATAAAACAACACTATTTAGTGTGGACTTGTGTGAACTCTAATTAGTGTTGCTTAGAGTTGATTTTTTACTGTGTATAAGTATACTGTACTATGTTGACAATAAAAGAGATTTCTTTGATAGGTTGAAAAGTTTGAATCAAGCTATGAACTTTTAAATCCAAATGCAGAACAAACCACCATTGTATTTGCATATTGGAATCAAAGTTTTTAATTCATCTTTAAGCAAAATCACACAAAACCACCTAGCTTATAAACCGCAAAGAAAAAATATGTTTGACATGTAAAATCAATTTTAATAATAAAAATATAAGCTAACATAATTTAAATATAGATTGGTAAATAAATCTCGTCACAGTTTTGAAAAGGAGAAAGCTTTGTCTTTTGAAGTTTCGGTTTTACCATTTTTATTGCTTACCTACACAGGCACACAAAAAAAAGGTCAAGAATTTTTAACGACACACATGTTTTCCAATGAATTTTTTCGCCCGCTGAAACTGAATATTTAATGTGATTTTTTGCCAATAGAAACAACTTTTTATTATGCGTTTTACCAAAAAATGCATTCTTGTTTAAAAAATAATATTTCCTTAAAAAAATTGAACCAAATGTACAGGGTGCTCAGAAATTAAGAAAACATGAAAATGCTTAAAGAAAATTGCTTTAGAAAAAAATCATTATTGTACGGCGGTGTATAATAATTTAACTTTTGAACTGCATACTGCGAAGTTTGGAAAAAACACATTGTGCCCCCTTATGCTCTTTACCTCCCCCTAGGGAGTTTGTTTGATCTTAAGGCGTACTTTTGTGCAAATTAGGCAAGAATTTAATATAGCATCAGAGACCAGAATTTAATATAACATCAAAACGTTGCAGCATTATTTAATCATATATTATATCACGAGAACTATGAATTTAATCGGGTAAACTAGGCTCAGTAGTTTTTTGTTTGGTTTTTGTTGGAAAATGTTGAATGCAAAATAATTTAATAAAATCACGAGACCGCGTAGCGGTCGAGGGGTTTTATTTTTAATTATTTTGCATGAAACTATTTTCCAAAAAGAAAAATCAAATAAAAAAATTACTGAGCATAGTTTGACAGATTAAATTTATAGGTTGAGTGATATACGTCTAGATTATTTCTCGAATTAAAGGAAACTATTTGACCATTCATAAAATCTGACGTATGTGTCAAAGTTTATAAATATTTTTTTAAAGAAAATTCCATTAATTTAAGGTATGTAATAAGTAATAATTGATATTTCGTAAACTAGATAACTTATTTTTTATTGTTTTTTAAAAAATGTTTGTTAAAACTTGTAAATAACACCATAAAATCGTAAACAAAAATCCAATATGGAGGCTAAAATTTAATCGCTGTTAAAAAGGTCTAGTGATTTAATCGCTTATTTAATAGTTATTTATGTATTAAGGGCATAATAAGGTTTTTATGGTCCGAGGCGCTATTTCGAGCCCGAGCGCGTCAGCGCGAGGGCTAGAAAAGCGTCGTAGGACCATAAAAACCAGTTATGCCAGCAATGCATACAAAACTTTATGCACGATTAATATATTATTATTTTTAATATATTATTGTTTTTAAAGACGTTTACGTCAAAGAATTTTTGTTATAATTGTCATATTACAATGTCAACTGACATCAGTCAGTTTTAAATTTTAAAGATAAATGAAATTGAGGAAGCAGCTGAAAAGGCGAAAAATTGCGGCCTGCTGCAGGTAAAATCAAAATCTTTATACGAAAATACTTACTTCGAATATATCAAATGGTGTAACATTGTTGTTTTTAATTTTTGACGTTTCATTATAGCCCGCTGGGCCATAATAACGCCCGCGGGCTATAAAAAGACGTTTACGTCAAAGAATTTTTGTTATAATTGTCATATTATAATGTCATCGTGCATAAACGAAATTTATTCGAAAATTCAAGGCTTTTGATTGGTTCATATTATATTGAGGGAAATAATGATTATTATAAAATGTCAAGTTGGCAAATAACCATACAAAGGAGACTTATTAGTTTACACAGGCCCGTCCAATTTATGTCAAAAAATGATGAAAAATTCGGTTTCAAGAAAAGCGCTTTAATAATGTTATACAGTTTATATGGGTTATTTTCATATTTCTTTTACATTTGCTGTCTCTCAACTTTAATATTTTATTAACAATTTGGAACTTCACTTCGCGAAATCTATTGATTTAAGTATTTTAGCAACTATACGAGGTGTGTGCAGAAAATAACGGGAATTGTTAAATTTCGCGGGTTCGGAGGGTCCGGTTGTCATAAAATTTTCTTTATTATATTGGTATACATGCCCCCGAAGTATGATAAAAACTTTAGCTGTCTTCATTGTTTACTTTGTCTGTGGCAGCCGCTAAGGTTAGATGTGTTTTATGAGCTCGGCGATTTTTCTTTCGTTAAAAGAAATGGATCAAAGAATTTGTATCCAATTTTACTTAAAAAATGAAATAAATTCTGTGAAATGTTAACAAAGGCCTATAGTGAGTCTGCTATAAGTAAAACAAGAGTTTATAAGTGGTATAAGAGTTTCCAAGATGGCCGTGAAGACGTTGAAGATGACGAACGCACAAGCACATTAACAACCCATAAAAACATGGAAAAAGTGGAAGAAATGGTTATAAACCATCAGAGAAGTCGCTGATGATGTTGGTATATCAATTGGCTCATCCCATGAAATTTTTTCGAATGTTTTGGGTATGAAACGCTTGGCAGCAAAATTTGTTCGAAAATTGTTATATTTTGAAAAATATTTTTGGCCAAAAACAATACAGTAATGATGCCCCAGCCTCCATATTCGCCAGACATGCCTCTGTCTGACTTTTTCCTATTTCCAAAAATAAAGAGAACCTTAAAGGGCCGTCGTTTTGCAAGCATAGATGACATTAAAAGCGCATCGCTGAAAGAACTAAAGGCTATCCCAAAGATCGAGTTTTAGAAGTGTTTCGAGTATTGGAAGAAGAGCTGGCACATGTGCATAATATCCAATGGGGACTATTTTGAAGGCGACAACATTAATGTAGACGAATAAATAAATATTTTTTTCAAAAAACGAAAATTCCCGATATTTTTTGAACACACCTGGTATGTCATATTAAGTGTAAGTGTTTGTATTATTTTATATTTTTTCAGATGGTAAGAAACTTTAGGAAACCTCTCGTAATAATTGCACCAAAAACTCTACTGCGATTATCTGCCTGCACTTCTATATTCGCTGATATGGCTCATGGAACTTCATTTAAACCAGTTATAGGTAAACAAAATTTGGTACCTTATTACAAAATTTGCATTTTTTGAATATTTTAAATTAAATAAATTGACAACTTTAAGAGTGAAAAACTGCTTCTATATCGGATTTAAACGCTTGTTTGTCCATTTTTAAGAAATTGAGAGTATAAAAAAATAAATTACTAATATTGTCAAATTGTAAATATCATAATATTCAGGGTGTTATGTAATTAATGTTATATATTAAAATGGGTTGTTCCTTAGGGTCCATAAAGAAGCACCTGAAACTTTTTTTTTCTAAATTCCAAAGTCTAAAAATAATTTATAATAACCTTTATCCTACCAAAAAGTACGCCACTGATTGACTAGGAACCTTAGGTTAATCTGGTGGATTTATTATGTTATGGTTGGTAACAACAGTTTTTCCAAAATCTTTCAAAAAAGTTGCCAAGCATTGTTTAAATTTAGCTTAATTACAAAAATGACAAAATTAACAATGCAAATTGTCAATTTGGCGTTTTTATTAATTGTTGGTTATTTCATTTTTGTACTGAAGGTAAATTCAAACAAAATCTGCCAACTTTTATGACAGAATCTAGTGCATTTCTTTTAAATTTTAGGTTATGTTTTCAAATTGTAAATATCTTAACTAAGGGAAGTGCTTTTGGATTTATTTACACAAATTAAATGTTTAAAGTTTAACCTGTGAACTGGTCCCAATTTCATCTGAGTAAACAGAGAAAAAAACTGATGAAAAAATTAATTTTGTGGTTATGGATTTCAAATTTCAAAGGTACTAAATTTTCTAATCATTGCTTAAGCTAAAAGCTGGATCAGTAAATAAATACAGAATGGTATTAGAGCTTTAAGGGCATAAAACTTTTGTATTTATTGAGTTTTTATTTATTTTTTGCAAGAAAAATTTTTAGTAACAATTTTTTACATCTGGCAACGCCTAGCTACTTTGTTGGTTGGTATCTATGTACTCAGAAAATACAGGTGTGCAGAGATAAACAAGTGTGTAACCAGTGGCGTATCACAAAAAATATAAAAAACTTCTAATGCATATTTTTTCTTTATCTTTGGAAAAATGTTTTTTTTTAAATATTTTTCCTTTATTCCTTATGTCAAAAGGTATTCAGTATTTTAATATATAACATTAATTACATAACACCATGTAAATAATTTAATATTTCAGTAGTCTTAGAATCTATTTTTGTTCTGTGTAGGGGAGAAGCAGTATGAAGGTCCTTCAATAACAAGTATTCTATTGACATCTGGCAAGCATTATTATTCCTTGGCAGAGAAGCGTCACGCGATGGGTATTAAGGACACGGCCATTCTCAGGATTGAATCCTTCAGTCCGTTTCCAACTTTAGAATTAAGACACGAATTCTCGAAATATCCTAATGTTAAATGTAAGTAATCCCTTAACGCGCCGTGAGGTGCTTGTCTAATTCGCGAATTCGGGGCTATCCTTTTTTTAGCTGTGATTTGGTGCCAGGAGGAGCCGCAAAATATGGGCGCATGGAGTTTTGTTAAGCCAAGATTTGAAAACATGATTGGCAAAAAGGTAAGTTATTTTATCTTCTCTTTATTAAAAATGGTTGCAAAAAGTTCCAGAAATATAAATAAAGATTACCTATTAGGGTGTTTCATTTAAAACGAACATTTTTTTTTCTTGCTGACACATACAAATTTTGTTTTTTAGGTTGAAAAAAAAATTCCCTGAAAATTTGAGCCCTTAATTTTGATTCTAAGTACTTCCTTTTTAATTTTGTAGTTTTTCCATATAAAAAGCATGTATTTTTAATCATTTTTACTTTAAATTTCTATATTTTGGCCGGGTTTTGAATTATACTTTTTATCACCATAATTTCCTGTATAGTATTCACGGTTTTTTGAATCAATTTTGTTTTTGATTTATTTACGTTGATTGTAGTAGCTCCAAAAGTCGTTTTTTCACTTTTTCTCACATATTTTTGAGAAAATCGAGCGAATGACTGATTTTACCGAAAAAGTTCTAATGAAAAAGTGGTAGGGAATTTAATTTTTGACAAAAAAGATTCTTACGTTCATATCACTAAAGTGCTTTGTTTAAGAGATATAAGCAAAAATAGGTTTTATTGAAATTTATATAAATTTATATGTACTCGTATATGTAATTTGATTCAACAACTATATATTGCTTATATCTCTTAAACAAAGCACTTTAGAGATATGAACGTAAAAACCTTTTTTGAAAAAATTAAATTTTCTACAACTTTTTTATTTGAACTTTTTTGGTAAAACCAGTCATTCGCTCGATTTTCTCAAAAATATGTGAAAAAAAAATGAAAAAAACGACTTTTGGAGCTACTACAATCAACGTAAATAAATCAAAAACAAAATTGATGCAAGGCCTTTTAAAAACCGTGAATACTATATAGGAAATTATGGTGATAAAAATTATAATTCAAAACCCGGCCAAAATATAGAAATTTAAAGTAAAAATGATTAAAAATACATGCTTTTTATATGGAAAAACTACAAAATTAAAAAGGAAGTACTTAGAATCAAAATTAAGGTCTCAAATTTTCAGGGAATTTTTTTTCAACCTAAAAAACAAAATTTTCATGTGTCAGCAAGAAAAAAAATTTTTCGTTTTAAATGAAACACCCTATTACCTATATTTATTTTATTTAGGAGCTAAATTAAAGGTAACCATTAATCTAAGGGAAAAACCAAAACCTAATTTAATTTAATTTAAAATTTATGTCACTATGCTTTAAATGTGTTGTTGGCAACTCTTCAATTATACTTTGATAGTTTTACAAACTTTGTTTTCCTAACATTAAGTACTCCAGCTTAGTTTAACTAATTTTGGGCCACTGATTTCAAAAATGTCATTAGTTTTTCTCTAGGACGTCTAGGATTTAAAATAATGTCGTAATAAAATGCTCTGCTCAATCACCTCAAAATGTAAGTTTTTTGTTGGTATTTTAATTATTCATTAAATTATTTTGGCTTAAATTTATCTTGAATGTACTGAAGTAATTGGTATACGGCAAATAGATCATACTTATCCAAACAATATGACATTTTAAATACTAAAACTAGAAATTAAAAACACGCCCAACCACAAATTTAAAAAAAAAATCTAAGACATATGTACAATATTTGTCCGGAGACAATATAAATAAAGAAATTGATCTAAAAAATTACTAATTATATTGTTTATGTAAATAATAAAAACAGATGTAATTGTATAGTATTACATGTTCATGAGCTATCACATCCTGCAGGATGTGATAGCTCATCCAAAAAGATAAAAAAAGTCGCTATTAACTTACCCTCTAAAATGCACAATTTTCGAGACACAGGGTGTTGAAATTTTAGAAAAAAAATCGTTTTTTTCGAATATCTCCGGAAACGTTTATCGTACAAAAAACAGCTTTTGTAAGCATTTTATACTCATAATAAGCTATATTTTGCGCTAGAATTGTGCATTTTAGAGGGTAAGTTAATAGCGACTTTTTTCATCTTTTTGGATGAGCTCACATCCTGAAGTCCTGCGCATATATTATGAAACACCCTGTATACATATGTACATTAATATTAAAAATAATAAAAAAAATTACAATATAGATCTAAAAATCTAAAAATTTTAGGCTTTTCTTGTCTTGTTCTTTATTTTTATACTGTTTAATAACTCATTGTTATCTACAGATCTTTGACTTATATTGGCTTTGTAATATTAAATGATGTTTTTATAATAGTTTTTATATATATTATTACTATTGCACGAACAAATAAACGCTTGTTTATTTAAGTGCTTTTTTGCATATTTATTGCTATTTACTTGTTTATATTAATCTGTTTGTGAAATATTTTTTAAAGGCAATAAATATTATTATTATTAATATTATTATTATTATTATTATTATTATTTTATTATTATTAATGTGTTTTATGTAAACAAACAACCATTATTTGACATTTTTTGTCGTTTATTTTAATGATTAAATTGAAAGGGCAACAAAGTAAACAAGTTTCAGTATTTTGTATCCAAATGCATTCAATGACAGCGCTGTTCTTGGTACTATGTTAGATTTTTTCTGTGTATTATTTTGCTTAATCCTCATCATCGTCGTACATCTTTTGCTGCAAATTCCAGCAAATGTCTCCCAGCAATGAATCCAACTTCTTTCCGCTATAGCCATAGATATCTACCAATCTCTAGATTTGCAGTTACTTGGTGAAATAGTTCTCCATGTTCATCAGTTCGGCAAATTTATCATGATGGAAAATTTATTTTAAATGACATATTAACGCTTATTCTTTGCAAAACGGAAAGCATTTTTTCAATGAATTGGCGCCAATTTTAGGCCCGATATGAACCAAAACATTTTCAATGACAGCTTTAATACTGCCATATGCGACAAGCTCGTCAACTTTGAGAGCATTTTTGCATGCTTGATCTTTCATTAAACGTCGTATATCAGGTCCATTTAATATTCCTGCAAAATTAAAGTAGTAGGTGTATCTCATAAAATTTTGTAATGAAATATTGCGTTGGTTTTCTTGGGCGTAAAGGTACCGCAACAAAAACAAAACAAATTTACAACGACGACATAAATGTTCGTCTCCTTTTTTTTTCTCTGCCAATTCCATTAGCACTTCCATTTCCTGATCTTTTTTTATTTTTGGTTCTTAAAATCACTTTCAAGTAAAAATACAATTTAAAGTTTAAATTTTAAATGTCAATAATTAATAGATGCATTTTAATTCTATATTAAATTTTGATAAGACTTAATAAATAAGATTCGAGATTAAATTTTTGGGTACTTTAGGCATGATGTGAATAAAAACAAACATCAAATAATAGTCGAAGGGTAATGCTTTTACCTAACATTTACTTTGTTGCCTTTTCAATTTAATTAGTAATTAAAAAAACAAAACAAAATTTCTATTTGACATTTATCTACCGATGACTTTGTATGGAGTCCCTGTATATTTTTGACAAAAAACGTCAAAAATATACTGAACATCCAAAATAGATTTAAGGCAAAATAATTTAATAAATAATCAAAATATTAACAAAAAACTTACATTTTAGTAATGTTAGTAAATCGAACTATTATAGTGTTATTAACAAAATTTTTACTTTATTTCCATTGAAGTTAGTATTAATACTATTAATATTATTTTTTTAGATTAAATATTGCGGAAGAAAAACATCTGCCGCTCCCGCAGTAGGCGTTGGCAAAATTCACAGACAGGAAGCGGAAGACATTGTTACAAAACCATTTTTTAAAGATTTTTATTGATTAAATATATTTTCACCCTTTTTTGAATCTCATTTTGTCTTTCTTTTACTAACCCTTCCCTATTACAATAATTGAGGTGATCTGCAAACTGTAACTTTTTTAATTATTTCAAAATTTGTTTATTGTTTGGTAACTGCTTTAGAGAAAAGAATTGCAACATTCGTAAAAATGTTGCTGACAGTGACAAATGATAAAAATAAGTTGTACTCGTAACAAACATAATAACTTAATAACTAGGAAAGTTAGGCCGACTTAAACCACCAAATTCTTGTGTATAAACTTTGAAGTATTTCAGAATTTCGCTTCTGTTTGTTTTGTATAACTTTTCCTTTTGATATTTAAATACAATGGTGGTTTGTTGTGCATTTGGTAATAAAAGTTATTATTATTATTATAGGTATTATATTATTAAGATTTTTTTTAATTTTACGTATTTAACATTTCCAATCTAACGCTCTTAAATTTTTGAAGGGGATGTAATGTAATGTTATAATAAAATAAATAAAACAAGTTTATTTACAAACTATACTTTTATTCACAAAAATAAAATAAGAATCACAATTATAGCTTAAACACCTCGTTATCAATTCTTGCTTTCGTTGTAATTAATTCATTGTTTGGACAGCTGACATACCCTTGATACTATTTTTAATTAAAATAAAGATAGATGCTATTTTGGCTTGCATTAAAATGCCAGTTACGTTCTGGACTTGGATCCAGTCCTGTAAATAAAAATAATCATGTATCTAAAAAAGTATCTAAGTTACACGGTAAAGTAACTTATAAACATTTAAGTAACTTAGATACTTTAAAGTTACTAAGATAACTTTCAGTGTAACTTGGAAACTTTGTTAGAGAAATTTGGGGGAATTCCAGAATGATACAAAGTAATTACGTAACCTAAAACTTGTTGAATTTTTATAATTTTATAGTTTTTATTCATTCTTAAAAGTATATTTTAGTTACTCAAAAGTATCTTAGATACTTTCAACTTAAAGTATCTAGTTATCCGAGGTAACTTTTTAAGTTATTTTGTTTAAAGTATCTTAGAAAAGTAACTAAATATTTTTCAGAAGTAACTTTCCCAGCTCTGCACTGTTTAAAATATCTGTGGTGTAAAGAGTAATCTTAAAATGGTGTCAAAATCCAACACCAAGTGGTGTTAATATAACACCATGAATTATGGCTGAAAATGGTATATACAGCAAACACCAAAACGGTGTTTATCTAAAAATATTTGAGAAGTTCACCTACACAGAAAAAAGGACTAGTTCATTTAACCATATTAATTTAGTTGACCCATAAATATTTATTTAAATCAACAGTGGGAAGGTTAATATAAACAAAGATTAATTTGACGGTACTAAACCAGATAGTTATTTCATTTTTTTTAAATTGGTTAAATTAAGCCAGAAAACTTTAGTGAAACCAACCCGCTGTATGGTTCAGTTTACTAAATATGTTGTTTGTAAGATAAGAGTTACTTCAACCTAAAGCACTCTGTTAAAACGATTAAAACAATTTGCCGTGCATTCCTTGTTCAATAGTGTGTACCGATCGCGGCAAAGGCGGTGTGGATCACGTGATGTTCTTAAATCTCGCCTATGTTGACTTACATGAAGAGTATATAAGCTCAGGTATAGTCACGGCCAAATCTATATGGGTGCACGTCATCAATGAGATATAATGACGTCATCATTACCAACTTTGAATTGTAAAGTTACTGCCGTTAAATTTGCTTTTTTAAGGTGTAATTCTGATGTGTTATTAAAAAGAAATCATTCATTTGCATATTGTTTACCAAGAACTGTAACAATTTCCTTGTTTTAAAACGTTTTTTCACGAAATTATCAAAATAAAACCATTCACTTAGTAATTTTTGTGTGTGCCAGTTGGTAATAGCTTAAGGCTGGCGCGCACCGTTCAATATTATTGATGGGTCGCTGTCATTTTATATTTGACGTATTTTTGTAATTGTGACATTTCGTCCGGAAGCATCGTTTGTTGCAAATTATTATAAATAATATTATACATTATGTTTATAAGATTCAATCCCTGGATTGTGCAAACAATGATATAAGGCTTTTTGGCAACTAGCCGTTATTAGATTTCGAAGACATTGCGCCCTTAATAATAAATTTGGGGAAATAATCAGACTTCAATTCTGACCTGGTTTGCTCTGATGACAAGGACGACTGGTAATTTATTATTTTTGTGTTTTTGATAATTTAGTATTTTTTTGTTATGTGCATATGTAATAAAAATATAATAAACTCCGTTTGTTTTCTCTTTAAACACATTTAATAAAAATTTGCCTGTAACAAACTCCTAATTAGTTAGTGCAGAAGATTATAACAAGGACGTTATAATTCCATCTTATAAGATTATTATAATAACAGCCCCCACCGCTATAAACAGTCAACAATACACGAGCGTTAGATTGTGTCTGGGCACGTATGAATAGACCTTAACGCTGACGTCATATGCCGTTGATGACGTGCACCCATACAGATTTGGCAGCGACTATAGTCCTTTGCTTTGGTGTGACACTACAAGTTGTTCTATTCTAAAAAGACCTTAAATAGGTGGAACAGCTGTCAATACTTGAAGTATTTTAAGTGGGTGGAACGCACAAAAAACATTATCTCTAGCGAGTTGAAGGTTCAATTTTCTGGAATAATACCACTGGTAATATGCTTGTAATGCGGACATTCCTGTTTCCTTTTTTTTGTGTAGTATGATTTAATTTAACAATAAACACATAATATTTAACACTGAAAAGGAGTTTAATTTACACCAGGTAAAATTTATTTTAATACTGTGAAAGTTAAATTTACACTATTTTAGTATTTGAATCTACTCTGGACCAACGAACCATATTTAACACCATTTTGGTTTGTATCGATATAGACCATGTATGGTGTTAATTTTGTGTTATATTTAAAGTAAGTATTTGTTAACACAGCATCCTAACATCAAAAACTTACCGTGACTGTCACTAACTGTGGATTGGCCCCCTTGAGGTAAATCCGCTATTGCGAGCATCTAGTATCTAAGTCTTAGGACGGTTTGGGTACGGATGGTGGGATCGACAGAGTACATTTTGTAGCGTCCCATTTCCATCATGGACATGGGGGAGTCGTAGTGCAGGGTAAAAGGCCCGTAGACTTTGAAGTAGCGACGGCTGATTGGGGGAACGTAGGTGATGGGAGATCGGCTCAACTCCAAGGAGGGCGTCAAACTGCTGCTGGTGGTTACGGTTTTAGCCAGTTTGGTCGAGTTTTCGGAAAAGTATTCGTAGTTGTGGGTCAGAACCACTCTGCGTTTGTTCATTTTGCCTGAATTGAAAAGCTGGAGTTTATTTCACAAATTACACTATGTAACATGATATTTGTTTATCTGGATTTTATTACACAAATCGTAGTAGGCCATGCCCCCGATTACGTAACATACATTTGTTTTTTCAAACTGTCAAATTTTCAACGACAGCCGTCAGATCGTGTTGATGGCTTTGAGTGTCATTAGGGGACATCCATTAATTTCATGAGGCATTTTTATGATAATTTAGACCCCTCCCTCCCCCTTGGTGAGATTTGGTGAGATGTGGTAGACCCCCACTATCCCTCACGTAAGATTTTGGCCATTAACCTTTGTAGACAACATGTAAAAAAATGAATATTTTTTTTCACAAAAATTGGATTATAATACATATTTTTTAAACTCAAAAGTTAACGTGAGAAAGGTTTCCTTGGTAACCACAAAAGAGAAAATTATACTGACCTTGTCAAAGTTTTATTAGGAAGTTTTAAAGAAATGTGATGCCGCATGTCGTTGAAAGTACCTACACTATTTGCATTGGCATCTTGACTTTTTTCGTGAAAATCTGGGAGATGTCAGCGAAGAACATGAAGAAAGATTCCATCAAGATATTCGGGCAATGGAAAATTGATAACAAGGAAGGTGGGATGCGAGAATGATGGGTGACTATGTTTGGAATCTATTTCGGGAAGAAAATGCATCATATAAAAGAAAAAGTCGTATTAAAATTAATTTTTGAGCCAATATTTAAAATCTATGTTAAGAAAATATTTTTCTAGATTGTATGTTTTGTTAAAATAATAATTCTGAGTTGAATTTCTTGCCATTTCTTGTCAATATTTTTTTGAATTTTTGATAAAACTGGGTTTGATTATATTATATATAATATAATCAAACCCAGTTTTATCAAAAATTCAAAAAAATATTATATATAAATACCCCTTAAAAAAATAAAAACTTATCACTACATTTTTTAAATTAAGTTAGAATAGTTTTTTGGCACACAAATATTGATAATTTAACAAAAAATCCAATAAACAAAACAAAAATCAAATTTTGTTACATAGTGTTATTTAATGATTTTGATTGTTTTACAAACTGCTTGTGAAAAGTACAAAGACTGACTGATATATCTAAGGTTCTTGGAATATACTTTGTGGGAAAGCATCTTATACAGTGACCGAAAAAGTATAGAACACATCCATTAAAAAATGTGCCTACAATTTTGACGGTTGACTGTAATATATTCAAACAGAAGGTAGCTTCATCCGGAAAAAGTATTTTACGAGGAAATGATGGATAAATTCATCATAGTTTCACAAAATTGTAGTCTACGGACCGGATCATCTTCGTTCAGTTCCTAATTTTGACTTTCAGCTGCGACTAGGCTAGAACCTATCCTAAGTGACTGTTACTCTTTCTAGGTAAACCTATTTGTTTTCAAATATCTGAGGTAGTAAAAGCATACTAAAAATATCAGTTCACTAAGTAAATTAAACACATCCAAAGCAATCGAACCATTTATGTAGGTGTTACAAAAATTGATTCTATCCTCCGGGAATCTGTTTTCGCTTTAAATTTTATGCAACTGATGGCGCTTTAATCATTTTAAATAAGCAAAAACCTCTGTTTGCGACATTATAGATGCATGTGATTCCTGAAGGTCAGTTAGAATTTATATGCAGATGAGAGTGTTGCTGTTTTATAATTCAAAAGTTTAAGTCCATTAATTTGCTATTTAAAAACCTATCCACCGTGAAGTGTAATATCTCAGTAAGTAGATTTCAAATACACAAAGGGATGTTTAAAAAAAAGATACGTAATCCTAACCTCCGTGAAGCTCTAATATTCAAAATGAATGATTTCTTAAAATTCTTGTATAAGTGCAGAACCACTTATGTTACGTTATTACTAGATCTGGTGGCTTCCCAAAAACCCCATTCTAGACTAACAGTGAAAAAACCAAAAATAAAAAATAATTATAATCAACTACACTCACAGGCAAAATAATCGATCCACACAAATTTTCGATGAATTTCAATCACAAATAACTTTTTTAATTGATTTTGAATTTAAACAAATATTAAAGAATATTGTAGATACATTAATGGAGAATCGCTCACATTTTAAAAATTACTAAAAAATACACGTACGTTTATAATATACAGGGTTAAACAAAAATATGTTTTTTACCATAAGTTTAAGACACTCTGTAGAGTGGCAAAACCGTATATTGTTCTAAATTAAGTTTTAATTATCAAGTCACATCTATTTTTTGGTTCACCTTGATATATTTATTTTTGTGGAAAATATGGATATTTTTAAAAAAACATTGCAATTTCCAATATTTTTCCTGTATGAAGAACTAAGGTTGCTATGGTCCATCCATAGCCTATGGAGGATGACAGTGACAGTTTTGTTGAATCATCTCATACTTGGACATGTCATATACAGCTTTCAAAAGCTATCAAATTGTTTTTTGTAAATTAATGTGTTAATTTTGAGGTGTCTTCTTACTTTTAAAAATGTCTCCGACTGATGTTGCCCTTTGTACTTTACTTCTTATGACGTTTAAAACACTTGCCACGTAATACTGTGACCGTCCATCCTGGATTAAATTAATGGCTCTGGCAACATCAGTCGGAGACATATCCATTTTTTAAAGTAAGAAGACACCTCAAAATTTAAACATTAATTTGCAAAAAACAATTTGATAGCTTTTGAAAGCCTTGTATGACATGTCCAAGTATGGGATGATTCAACAAAACTGTCACTGTCATTCTCCATAGCCATAGCAACCTTAGTTCTTCATAAAGAAAAATATTGGAAATTTTAAAAATCCATATTTTCCACAAAAATAAATATATCGAGGTGAACCAAAAACAAAACTGTTAAGAATAGATGTGACTTGATAAATAAATCTTAATTTAGAACAATATACTCCACTCTACAGAGTGTCTTAAACTTATGGTAAAAAACATATTTTTGTTTATACCTGTATATTATAAACGTACGTCTATTTTTTTTTAGTAATTTTTTAAAATGTGAGCGATTGTCCATTAATTTATCTACAATATTCTTTAATATTCATTTAAATCCGACATCAAATAAAAAAGTTATTTGCGATTGAAATTCATCGAAAATTTGTGTGGATCGATTATTTTGCCTGTGGTTGTAGTAGTGAATATTTGTTTTAAATTTTATGCCAAAAAAGAAATATAAAATGAAAAACTTCCATATATCGATATTTGGTATTTGTACACCGAGAGAAATAGTCTGGGTATAGTTAAAAAATGATTTGTTTTAATATATTTGGTAAAATATAATAAATAATTCTTCTATATACCAAATCAGCACTTCTTAGTAACTATATTCAGAATTACTTAAGTTTATTTTGAAAAAATGATTTGGTTCACTGTATTTGGTTATAAAAAACAAATATAGTTTAATAATAACAAACCATTTTCAAATAGAGTTTGTATGAATAAATCGAGTTGTTGCTTGCTTATAAAAAACAAATGCAGGATAAAACACGTTGATTATTCGCCGTAGATGCTTTAGTTCGGCCATTGTGTTAGTTTGTGCAAAGGGAATGGACGCGTCCGGACGTGCTGTATAGTTTATACCTAAATTAGGTAAATATGGATACATTTTTGATTGAAAATAATTTAACAGAGTTATGTTTTTTAAGTTTAAGAATTTTAAATTAAGATGTTTAGTTTACTTAAGTTTAAGATGTTTAGTTTACTTTACCAAAAAAAAAAGTTAAGGAAAATGTTTTTTATTTTTTATTAAAATAAAATGTATTGTTATCAATGGCCGAGTGTTATTTAATATAGAAAACCCTAATTTTTATAAAAACGCTAAATTATAAAAATACATGTTTTGTTTTAATAATTCAGGGTGTTTCAGACTTGTGGTGCCAAAAGCTCGAAAAAGATTCCTCTCATCAAAATATGAAAAAAAGTGTCCGAAAATGCTTCATTACCGAGATACAGGGTGTTTTATTTAAAAAAAAGTTTAAATTTGATACTTTTTTGTTACAAAAATAATCATAATAATGTATAAAAAAGTGTTTTTAAGCTATAAATAAAAAACTCAATTAAAAAAAAACAAACACCCTGTATCTCGGAAACGAATCATTTTCGGACACATGTTCATAAAAACTTTTTTTCATACTTGAGAGGAATCTCCCCTGAGCTTTTGGCACCACAAGTCTAAAATACCCTGTATATTACTTATTTTTTAAAACAAAACGATTTGTTAACAAAAAAAGATCATTTGTTTTTTATAAATAAATATATTTTTTTTAAATAAAAATTTGATTCTTATAAATAAATAACTTATTTATTACGACTAATTGGTTTGGTTTTAATAACCAAAAACAAATTATTAAGTAAATATGACCAAATGTCTTGAAGCTAATCATTTGTTTTTAATAACGTAGCCGTTTGTAAGTCAAATACTGAATAAAGCATTTGGTTATAAAAATGCAGATTTGGTAATAAAAACCATTTTTTTCTCTCAGTGTAGAGTAACAAAAAATAATAATAAACTGGAAAAGGTTGACCTTGAAATAAAATATTTTGAGAAAATTTATTCTTCTATAAACACTTTTTAATTTCATGAAAACCCCATTAAAAAGTCTTTAATAAAAACTATAACACACTTTTAATAATCAATATCTCCAAAACTATTATCCCAAAATCTCTTGGAATCTCCAAAAAAACAGAGTCAGAGATTCTACAAAAATGTCGAAAAATATGAAAATTGTACATGAAAAAAAATTTAAATTTTTTAATGGATTTGTTCCATACTTTTGCAGGTAACCGTATAACACCTGGCTATGTTTAAAGTGATTGCTATTACATAAACAAACTGGTAAGGAAAAATGGTTAAAAACTAGACTTTGGAAAAAATATTGTAGGTACTTACTGGTGTTTGTGGTCTGTTTAGACGAACTACTTACTGAATTAAAATTGTGTGCCTTGATATATTTAATTGTTTTATTGATTGTTTGCCAAATTGATTAACCTTTTGCTTGATTATGTCCTATTGATTGATGTATTGAAAATTTGAACTTCAACTAACCTTTTAATTTATAATTAAGTTTTAAGCCTTTTTGGTGGATTGTAATTTTGGGGGACAAATCGTTTTATTTAATTATTAATTACATTTCTCTTTCAAATAAATTTTTTGGTTTAAAGTTAATTAAAATAAAGTATTTTTTAGGATTTTGTTTCTCTCCAAATTCCCACTAATTTTCTGTTTTAATTTGTAATGGCAATAAAAAAACGAACGTTAAATTTTAAAACACATTTATTACACCAATTGAATAACATGGACTAACTTGGATATTTTTGCCAACTCTCAAAAAGAGTCGCCAACATTTCCGCATTTCCGGAAGGGATATATGTCGGGACGTCTGCTGGTCAGCAGGATAACTGGTGGGTTCTATTAAAAGAACTCGTGAAGAATATAAAACTGTCCGAATTTCATTTAAAGATTTACTTAAAGAGCACCTGATTCAACTCAAGTGAAATTGACAATTTAAAATGTAATATAAGACTGCAAGATTAATTTGATTTTCAATGAAAGATTTTGTATTTTAAATTAACAATAAAAAACAAATATTTAACTAAGTAAAATTCTTCTACGTTATGTTAACAATAATTTTTTACCTACTACCAACTCGTACAATCGTACAATTTACATAAAAAAAATGATCTTTTCAATAAAAAAAATATACCAAAAAAAAACAAAATAAAGAAAATATTAAAGCAATCTTAACCCAAATTGCGAAACATAATTTCGTTTTTTAAAACTTAAAAATATATTTATATGGATGGATAAAATATATATGGGTGAAGGTATAAGGTATAGAAGCATATTAAAAATATCAGTTCACTAAGTAAATTAAACACATCCAAAGCAATCGAATCAAATCTAAAATATTATTAAAAACTAAAAGAAATAATTTTAATAACCATTTATGTAGGTGTTACAAAAATTGATTCTATCCTCCGTGAATCTGTTTTTGCTTTAAATTTTATGCAATGGATGGCGCTTTAATAATTTTAAATAAGCAAAAACCTTTGTTTAGGACATTATAGATGCATGTGAGGGGTCAAAAGATACAATAACTTATTTTAAATATACAAAGGGATGTTTAAGGAAAAACATACGAAATCCTAACCTCCGTGAAGCTATCTTCCGTGAAGCTCCAATATTCAAAATGTATGATTTCTTAAAATTCTTGCATTAGTGCATAACCACTTATGTTATGTTATTACTAGACATGGTGGCTTCCTAAAAACCCCATTCTAGACTAACAGTGAAACAACCAAAAATAAAAAATAATTATTTTCACTTGGGGGACATCTCAATATATTCATGTATTCAATATATACATATAAAACAAATAAAGTATCAGAGCAATCGAAATAGCCTGAACAATTATTTCTGTGTTAAAAATAAAAGTCAATACATTTTATTCACTTTTTATTTAGGTATATAGATGGAACATTTATTTTTATTTTACAACATTTTTGTACAAAATCATATATTTACATTTATATCTTTTACATTCTGTACATTATTTACATTTTTTTTAATAAACACATATTAAAATCTAGATTTATTTTAGTCAAATAGTGACAATTAATTTTAAAAAATGTTTTGTATTTTAATTCCATTGTCTGAGGTTTTAATAGAATATTTTATAAATAACTTTTTAGGGTTTGCGTGTTGACATAATATTATTATGACATGGTATAACAAAAATAATAATTTTTACCCTGTTCAAAGACTTAAATAATATTAACAAGGATATTTTGGTTGAGTTGAGGTTACATTTTCTAGCATTAATAATTTGAATTAGATTCGTTGTCTATATTTTATACATATATGAATGTAAATATGTGTTTATACAATTCTTGAAACTTGAAACTTCTGAAATTGTGAAATTAATAATTTAATATTTGATAAAAGTTAAAAACAAAGTTTATATACCTAAAAAGTTTATATCAAGTAATACGGAGAAACCCGTTATTTTTTTATTATGGATAAAAGCCCAGTCTTACAGTTGCTGGAATTGTTGGCTCTATAGAGTGCTATAGTGCTTACTACACTTAAGAGGTGGGCTGTGTGGGGATTTATTTCCGGAAATTTACTAGAACATGCTTTGTTTGCTTGACGTTAATTGTTATATGCCTTAATAAATATTAAATTTCAGTTCATGCATTGTCTATGATTTATTTGAAATGCCTGGGTTCTATTAATAAATATCTGACATATAAATTATAAAAATAAATATCCCATGCATTTAAAAAACTCGACGTTAAATTGCTTTTCTGTTTTGACCATTTTAATCTCAACAATCAATAATTTAGGTATACAAATTTATAAAACTAATATGTAACCTTAACTCATTCGAAATTGAATTATAAATAATATCCATATTTTGAAATATAAAACTATACTATATACCCTTAAACAATTGTTTAATTATATAAAGTATATTTTTGTTTCTGGCATTTACAGTAAAGAAATTACAAAACAAAATAACTATTTACTTACATAATAAAAAACGTTCACATTTTTTGGTGCAGCTGGAGCAAAAAGTCGTTCACGTCTCTTTTAACAGCCACGTAGCTGTAACAAGACATTCCATTATTTGTGTTTAGTAAATCATTTTTCTACGTGACATATTTATTCAAATTTAAACGTTAAAATAATAAAATATAATATGAACTTGAATGCTTTAAACATTAAAATTTAAAGCTTTGTTTTCAAGATACAAACAAATAACAAACAATCGTAGAATTATGGTTAAGTACTCTTCAATTGAGGTTATGTATCTGTCACTGACCACCATGACAACATGCTTGTCAGAAATATTTCATTTTTTATTTAGGAGTATTCTCCTTTCACAAAACATACTTTTTCCTTGTAAATTTTTTATAACAAAGTTTCCCTGCCAAGGCACCCAATAATGCAATCTAAGTTCAGAGCAACTTAATTTAATTACTCTCTTAAAGCTTCGCCTTCTTTCGACACTTAAGTCGGTTAAAACAAAGTTTAACAAAAGTTTATTTCTTGTAAAAAATATTTATTTGCAGTCATCGTTCGACAACGGTGGACAATGCATGGCTGATGACGTTGATATTTCAAACTTACGCAAATACAATTATTTTATACAATTAATATAAATCATTTTACAAAGAAGCAATCATTTAAATTAGTATTAATGTAATATATTTCAAATAAATTAATTAATTCGACAATTTTAGGATAATAATTTATTTAATTAGGTAAACTACTTTAATCCCATTAGTTGGCACCAAATTATTTAATATACCAACAATACCTATTTAATTAATATAATGATGCTACAAATCTATTAATCATCATTTATACAATAAATAATAGGGTAATTTTAAATATATGGGTGATTCTCCCAAAATGATCATTTTGCCAAGTAGAAAATTTTCAGAACAAAAATTGTTTATTTTTTCTGGATAATACTCTGACTGGCTTTAGTTTAAGTTATTATAATATAAGTACCCAGTGATCAAACACATTTTTTAATTTTAAGAGATTTATCGCATTTAAAACAAATAGTACTGCCAGAGGAATGATCATGGGGACAGAGGAATGACGCAAGCTTTTTGTTAAAGATAATTTATGTATTGGTATTATTAATTTATAAAAAAACATATTCTTTGTATTACAAGTAATATTAAAAACTTAAACATTTTTTGACAATTTGCCCGTTCCTTGCTCAAAAACATCAATATCTTTTTCAAACTGATAATACTGTATGCATTTATGAGAAATTATAATTGGTGAGGGCAATATGGATGTAATATCTTCATATCTCACATAGGAAATGTCGTTTCATCTATTTTAAAGACCTGTTTCTTATTTAGTTTGCAAACTCTTAGATACATAACTCGTACCTCACCGTCTTCTTCTATATCATTCTGCGCAACAGCAACATATCTGTAGCAAATTTTTTTTGTTTTCAATTGAACCAATAAATATGTTCCAGTTCTAATATTTTGGCAACTCAGCTCCCCCTTGTTTTTGACACTTGGACCAGCTTCTTCATCATCTGAATAAACGTCAATAAAATTAAGCTTTATATGAGGAATTTCTTTTTGGGTCACAGATTTTTGTGATGTAAGTGGCATGTCTTCATCGAATGAGGATGTATTTGAAGCTTCACCTAGAGGTGATATACTTGTCGACTTGTAGATCAGTGAACCAAGATATAACGCAGAGTCATTTTCTCCCAAAGAACTTAGTGAATAAAAATTAAGCTGTACAGCGGATTTTTGAGACAAATCTTTTTTTACCTGATGGACTTTCATAGTTCCTTTGAAATTTGGACATTCTTTGTTCTCTAGCCGTTCTGATAGTTTGGCGATATCGCTAGAGTCAATAGTCAGGTACTTAATGCCCTTAACATTTTTAGAAAGTGCATTTACTAAGGTATCAAAAGATGCGATATCATTGCCTTGAGCTACCAGTCGATCCGCTGTTCTTTTAGTGACCCCACCAATGCCATCTGGAGCACCTTTTCCGTGACCGGCCTCTAAGTAGTTCCAGGAAAAATTCTTAATTTTTGTATACAAACTTGGGAGTTCAACAGCAAGAAAATAAAACATCGTTTTATTACGGTATTGCGTCGCCGGGTTATCACTAACAAAATACAAAGTGTCAACAAGGTAATTTTCTTCAATGTATTTTAAAATAGGATCTAAGTGTGCCCATATTCCAGGTACGTTATGTTGAAGAGATTCGGATAAAGTGCAGAAACATTCTTTTTTCAGTTCTTCACCAGATTTTGTATACATAACGACAGTATGGAGTGATATCTGCTGTCTGGACCCTCCAAAATGGAAAGATTGAACTTCTTCCGCATACTTTAAATTATAATTTTCGCTAAAATCCATATGGATTAATGCCTCATTACTCTTTAGTTCCTCTTTCATTTTTGTGATCCTTTTGTATTGGTGACGAGCTCTGCCCCTGTGTTTCAGATACTTTATGATATTGCTCTCAAACTCTTCTATTATCTCTGCTAAAGGGCATTCAAACTTTCGTTTTGTAATTTTACTTACGCTCTTTTCTTTTTTTGTTTTTTTATCAAAATATGTTTCTTTCTGCGAACACCACTTAAAGTAATGACCCTTGATAGAGGAATCTTGATCTTTATACAAAACCTTTTTGTATTTGCAGCAAAAGCATTCTCTAAGGAGGCATTTTTCTGTAGTATTTTCACAACAAAATGATGACATCACAGAATTTGGATCATGTTCATTTATCACCTTTAGTCGATTGAGAGACTGAATCAACAGAGACATATTTAAACATATTGAGCAACCGCAAGTGTCTCTCGCTAAAACCTTCCTTGAAATAATATAAAAAGGACGATTCTTACACCAAAAAGTATAGCTTATAGGCATAGTAGGGTGATGTTTTAAAAACTTCTTATGCAAATTTACCATGGTGTCGTTAAGATATCGTTTTTGCTTTATATTGCCATTTTTAGAACAATAATCTTTTTTTCCCGGACACATTCTACTATTAATGTCTGATGTTAAAAATTTCCAAATTGCATTAATTTTCTTGCATCTTTCCACTGCATGTCGTTTCTCAATATTCTTTGAGGTTTTAATCAATTTGCTACCTCTCACAATTTCTCGTAAGTCGTTTGTGATTTGGTACTTCTTAATTATTTTTCCCGATAGTACTTGTCTAAAAATTTGCTTTTCATTATCGCTTTTCAATTCTTTGTAATTTGTCTTTAATTGATCCTTTACGACCTCAGCAAATAAAAGTTTCTTGATAATATCTGGATTTTGATTCTCACGCATCATTTCGTTTACTCTGGTTTTCGGAGAAAGTTGAACTTCACGCTTAGTGCGCTTCTCTTTTGTCAGATTCCTTAGTCTGTGATATTTTACTTTGTATTTTGTGATTTTTTTTTTAAGTTTTTCTATAAGTTCATTTTTCTCCTTGGACCTTCTGCTCCTTATTTTCCGATTTTTTGCTGCTAAACGTCTTCCTGAAATACTTTGTGGTGTATCTCTTGGAACATCATTTACGTTTTCCAAACGAACGGGACTAGGTGGTGGAGTATTTTCTTCCAGAAAATGATTTTCATTTTCAGTTTGCTTTTTTCTTAATCTATAAGTTGTAGAGTTTTTGCGCCATTGTTTTCTTTTCATACGTTGGTCTCTTTTGCTTAGCTCACTGATGGGTTGAACTATATTATTCTCCTTTTTTTTGGAATACTGATCACGCTCTTTTTGCCTCAACTTTTCTCTCCCTTCAGGATCCTGCTTAAGCCTTTCGTATCTTTTTTTTTCAGCTTCCCTTTTTTTCCGGAGTTTTTCTTCCCTCGACTGGGGCATGGTTGATAATCTAAACAATTTATTTTCATTGTAAACAAATTATACAAGGTATCCGGAAAATAGCGCACCCACAATATACAACGTTGACAAATTGGTTTCGAGTAGGGTTTAAAAATTGAAAATTATTTTTATCGGGACACCCGGTATATATATATACAAGTAATTATTCTGTTTTCTATTTATCTTATCTAGTTAGTAAAAAAACACGTCTTGCAGAAATAATTACACGTTTACAACTAGTAGTTATGACTTGATAAGAAACCGTAATAAAATAATACAGTATATACTGTATTATTTTATTACGGTTTCTTATTAAGTCATAACTACTAGTTGTAAACGTGTTATTATTTCTGCAAGACGTGTTTTCTTACTAACTAGATAAGATAAATAGAAATAACTAGATAAGATAAATAGAAAACAGAATAATTACTTTGGATTAATTTGCACTTATTCTTAATGTTTTTGATAATATTATCAAAAACATTAAATTAATCCAATACCATTCCTCTGGCATATTCGGCATTCCTCTGGAACTATGGGTCCAGAGGAATGATACCAGAGGAATGACGATTTTGACGGTTTTGTTATGCTAAATGTAGGATGCTTTGTTTTTTCTAACCTCAAATATAGTCTATGAGTAGGGGTCCGCTAGTTTTACAGGATATAATTAAATGAAGACTTTAATTAAACATATATAAAGCTAACACTTACCAGAGGAATGCCTCACTCGCTTGTGACACTACTTTGAAGCACAGAAGTTTTGTGAAAATAGTAAAAAACAATAAAATTACACACCAACAATTAGTCAGCTTAAATTGTATGCTATCTGAACGGCTCTGTACCACAAGGCATAATCACCTAGCGCCACCTAATGTACTAATAATAAATCATTTAGATCGTCCAGAGGAATGATTATCAAACTCGGTTACGAAATTTCGATTTATATTATGGGGCACCCATACAATATTATTGTTTAATTGTTTGGGGGAGAGTTATAAATATGTAATAATTTGTAAAATAAATCATTATTTAAATGTTTTAAAATTGTTAATAGCTATTTTATTTTCTATAAGCATGAGAATATTGAGGGTTACAATCCAGAGGAATGATTTTTCTTAATCAAAAATGGTAAGAAAAAACTTATTTCAGTTTTATTTTTAATTCTATTTTGAAGGATGTTTTCGAAATACTTGAAAGTTATTTATTCTAAAAGAAAATACCAATGAATTATAGTATATATGTATACAAAAATTGGTTACATACAAAATGATCATTTCGGGAGAATCACCCATATATACAGTGTTGCCCATAATTTTTGGAACCACTGTCAAAAAAAACTAACTCTAAAACGCCTTTATTATTCTTTATGGAATTTTGGATAAAAATACTTAATAAAGTAATGCGCAGTTTTTATAGTAAAATTTGTTTATTTTACTATGGCATATTTGCAGTGGCGGCCCGTGACATTTCATTTTGGTGAGGCAGAGGCAGGGTTTCGCCCAACTTAAAAAAACTGACGCCGCAGTTTACAACCTATACTTAAAACTAAGTAAAAAACTTAGACTGTGGTGGGGAAGGAATCCTTTACTTTGTCAATGAAATATATTTTATTGTAAAAATGCCGTTTATTTTAAATAAACCTCATTTTTGTCTAATTAATATTTCATTGTTCAGCAAGAACCACGTGAAGGTCAACAATATCGGTACAATTTCTCACCGTAATATCCATAATGACTAAATTCACATAAATCACCAAGTTTAATTAACTAAACCCACAGAATAAACCACTTACAAAAGAATCATAAAATAGACAAACTCATAGAAAAAGAATAAACAAAATATTGCGTAAATAACCACAGATTTGTTCTTTAAACAGTTCAGAATTTTATAACCAAAACAAACCTAAATAAGGAATCTGTATTTATTTTATTGGTTACTGTGATGGCTACAAGATGGCGATAGTGTTAAAATATGTTTATTTTAGAATAGAAATATAATTTCGATTAAATCGATTTATTATAAGACAAATAATACCATTTATTATTGAATTTTGAAAAACGTGTGAAGTATAATTTATCTAAAATTCCGCAACAGTGTTGCCACAACACCTACTTATTTCCTTGGATGTAGGTTTGCCTGCCTCGCGTATGCTAATACGAGAGAAGGAGACAACTATGATATCGCATTGTAATAGAACGAGACAACAAGGCTAACGCCAATCGTGAGTCTAAATTAGTTCAGGCATGCTTCTGAGCCAATCATCTAGCTATAAATATTAGTTTAAATTGCGGTCGTTTCAAATTCAAATAATTTAAATGTTGCTGGGTATTCCACGTATAAAATCAATCAATTTTATTGACTATTTCACAATTCATGTAATCCAAATATTAAAAATTTATAGTATATTATAGAGAGTAAAATATTAAAATTATACTTAATTTTTTAATTCTCTATGATGAGGCACTGCCTCATCTGCCTCCCCTGACGGGCCGCCACTGCATACCTATTTTTTCTTTTTTAAATTACTATAGTTGTATACAAATTATAATTCAAATTAATTAAAATTTCGACGTTTTCTAAAAGAAATATTTAAGGTCTATTCCATAAACGAATCAGACTTGTTGTTTAAAAAGTGAGTTCGTATTTTTTTTATCATATAATATGAGTTAATTTTTTTGTTATAATAAATAATTTGTTTTAATGCCTTGTAGGTTAAAAATGTGACCATTGCATGGTTTGTTTATTTGTATCCATCTTCATATCTTACATACAATAAATCACAAAGATTTAAAAATACTTACTAAATATTATGAACTTCATATCATCTTAGTTTACAGCTCCGTACTATTGGTACCATTTGGCAAGACACTGGAAGTTGACAAAAATAAATGAAATCAACATGAATTATTTTAGCGACGTACCTTAACAAATATTATCACAATGTTTAAGCTCGTTGTCAGTCAGATTATACGTACGTTGTGTGAATCTCAGAGGGCGTGTTTGGCGGCCACTTGGCCAAAATTTTGCTCTTGAACAGCTGACCGAAAGTCGTGCGGAACATCCTGTTCATGCAACAGTAAAGGATAAAGTTTATGGCTCCGTTGAGCAAAGCAAGCATGTCCATCACTTCGCCGTACTTCTGGTAACACTCCAAGAACAGGTTTTTTCCCTTGAGGCCTATCAGCAGAGCGAATAACCCTTGCGGGAACTCCGTGATTAAAAACAGCAACAAGACTGCCACAAGCATCTTTGTGGTGCGGTCAGCCCTGCGTTCAGCCTTGGAAGTTTTCTTCTTTGCATTGCCGTTGTCTGTTAGCGGATAAGTATCGTAGCCTCTCAGAACTTGCTTCCTCCTCTTTGCTTTGAAGAGAGTCCTTATCAGCCAGAAGCTGATGAACGTGAGAATTACGCAGGGAAGCAACTTGATGAAAACTGCATACACCCAGAAGTTCACTTGCAGCAAACTTGGATCGTTTTGGAAGGTGTCACTTAGAGAGGTGTGGTATAAGATGAAGGTCTGATTGTGCTCCTCAACTGCGGATGTTGATATCTTCAAGGTTAAGTAAGTAGGGATGCATAGGACAATTGGCAGACAATAACTGAGGGAGATAGCGATTGAACACCTGCTCTTGGAGCATAACAAGTGGTTCTTATGCGGATATCTGCAACAAAATAAAGACCTTTATGTAAATTTAAACTGCAAAACAATGAGGTTTATAAACGAACAAAAGTAAGTTACGATCCAATTTAAAAATTCATTAAAAGCGATGGCCATTAACTTCAAACGTTTTACTGCATTTCCTGTTTTATTAAATTTTAATAAAGTCTTCAAAGTGGTCTTTCAATGCTATAATTGATTGTTTTTTCATTTCTCCAATAAAATTTAAAGTTTATTCAATTAAATATGTTTGGAGCAATTGAGGGTAAGGGATTACAAATATTATATTCAGCCCATAACAAAATATAATCACGTTAAAATTACTTGTTATAGAGTGAATGACTCTTTAGATTTAAACCTAATGGAAATGTGTAGGTACTTCCTAGCCAATTTTAGAAATAATTGTTTTCAAAGTTTATCTGATCAAGGTAAAATTAAAAATATATAATTAAATATTAAATTGATTTATTTTAAAAGTTATAAAGCTTCAACCAAAAATTAATAACAAATTAAATAAGAATAGTCTTTGTTTCTTTTAATTTTCATGATTTTTATTCCAATGGAACCTAAGGTAAAGTAAGTTATTACTGCCTTAGTGCTCGTTCACAATGGACGTAACCATAAAAAAAACATAAGAAATACATAAAAAAAGTACATAAGGATACATAAGAAGCGTTCACAATGTGCAATGCACATTGTGCATAGTACGTAATCTTTACGTTTATGTGACTCTTATGTAAAAATTATGGAGTGCCGTAAAAATCACATAAAGTTAAAATAATTTAACTTTATGAAATATTTATGTAATTTTATGGGAAAATTCGGTGACTTTTGGTTTGTTATGTTTTTATATTGGCAACTCTTGCGGTTCCTATAACCATTTGCTATGGAAAAGGTTGAGTCACCGGTAGACAAATACCTAAGATAAAGCCAAATTATTATTTTAGTTTTTTATTATAATAAAAGTAGGCACAAGACACCCAAAATAACAGAAATTCAAACATCCCGAAAAGACATTACTTGAACTATTCAAATCCGTTTTAGACTAACTTCTTTTTTTTCTTTTTTTACCATTCTATACCAAAATTAAAAAGCATTACCATTGCCATTATTATTGTTTAATATCAATTTAAAATTAAGCACATGTGGCTGAAGGACCTCGGTCATTGGCCATTTAATCTTATGTTGTAACCTTACATTGTATGTATTTACATAAGGATAAATAAATACGTTATTTATTTATTTAAAAGTAGGTAAACAACCTCAATGTAATGGCCAACCGTTGACTTGGACTCAGTGGTTTTCGTATGCTATGTTTAATCAATTTAGGGGACACTAGTTTTAGCAATTCCTCAAATAATGAGGCTGTCATTCTAGTATAAGTAAAAAACCATTCAGTGTCATGAAGTCGCATTTCAATAATTAGTCTTCGAAACCCTTTTTTTCTCTATCTCTATTTATAGGACGAACCCCCCAGCGTCTTGTTCGTTTTGGTTTTACCCTATCTTGGCGTTCTTGGCATCGTCGTCTTAGTAGTAACAATAATAACAATTCTTCAGTCTCACTCATTTTAAAAACACAATTCACAAATTTTAATTTAAATTAAATTAAAATGACATTAGTTTGACATGCTCAACATGTCAATTTTTATGGTCATTGTGAACGCTCTTTGGGTTTTATGTAAATTTTATGGTTATGATTTATGATTTCATTATGTATCTTTTATGGTTATGTCCATTGTGAATCCACACTTACATTGAATACCAATGTTTTCACTGTCATGAAAAATACTTGTTATTTGCCCAAGTATCATTCCCATTTTTTCAATGCGGCCTATATTCAATTTAATGATTGCCAAAATTCAGACAAACGCGCCAGGGCATCCCCTGCCACACCACACATCGGCAACCAGCAATCGCGTACGTGCGTATAGTTAAATGTGATCAACTGATTAATCGGTATTTCTGGTGACGCCGATTGATGTAAGTGTGTGGGTTATCTCTGGTGTAGGTGGTGTTTGGTTGTTTGTTATATTTGCTAATTTCTTGGGGGTTGTACTTCCTAATCTCGAATTTACAAGGTAATTTGTACATGTTTTTTAATTGTATGTCCGCCATGCTTTATCCAGTAATTTAATTACTCAATTATATCAAAATGATAACAAAAAGGTAAATGTGTACTCATATATGTATATACCATGGACACAGTTTATCTCGATATTCGGTATTTTTCTTAAATAGACGAAGTTTTTATTTATTTATAAAAAAAAACAGGGCGTCCTGAAAGTATATATTGATTTAGGACTTCCAGCAATCTTTAGGATTCCCCTCTAAATACATAAGATGAAATTCCTATTTCGTTTTAGAATAACCATGTGCCATGGCAAACAGATCCTGCACATCTAGTACAGTAACTGTTGCTAGTGATGGGTCAGCAACTTTCTTAGAGCCTAATATCACCAACACTTCTAGTGGGTTCCTAATAGTTTCTACAGAAAACAGAACAATTTCATTCTATTGATCGAAAAACCTGTGTACACAAGACTACCAAAAGCAGTTTCCAGAATTCATTTTATTTAAAGTTCATATTAATGTATTATACAACTAATATTTGCACAAGAATATACATATTTAAATGAATTAGAGCTTTGATTGCATTTAATGTAGCCATTCATTAGAAACCATAACTTTATTTATGCCAATGATAGTTTTTCATTAAGATTCATTGTGGCTTCAATTAAATAAAAATTTAGTTCAATAATTTCTTATGTTTTAACTAACTAAGTTTTAATACGGATTTAATAGAATCACAATTTAATTCAATGACTTATTATGTTTGAACTAATTTTAAGCAGGTTTGCACAAATAAAAGTAAGACAATCATTTATTTGATCATAGCTGTAATTCAGGTATTGAAAATACTGTATTTGAAATACAGTACACCATTGGCTCAATGGTTAACCCATTCACAATATAAATGCTTTTTCTCTGTGTATATAAGACGGTAATAAAACTGTAGCAGGTCGAGAAAAAGAACAATAGGTAAAGTAGCCTTGTTAAATAACACGGACTATTTATCTTTGTTACAAGGCGTTTTATACATATAAAAGTTTTCTTTGTGTTATATCTGCGCCTTTATTACATGTTCTATATTGATTATTTTCTGACGTTTCTAAAAACGAATAGAAACTTTAAATTTTAGTAAAAAGTTTCGTGTCAGATACTCTATTTAATGGTATTCAGTATTATTTGGTATGGTGGCAAAAATTTTATTTTTAAGGAACACAGACAAAATCAAACGGGGTAAGGTCTGGAGATCTTTGATGTACAATTTTCATATTTTCTAAACATATCAGTTCACTAAGTAAATTAAACACATCGAAAGCAATCGAATCAAATATAAAATTTTATTAAAAATTTAAAGAAATAATTTTTATAACCATTTATGAAGGTGTTGCAAAAATTGATTCTATCCTCCGTGATTCTGTTTTTGCTTTAAATTGTATGCAACGGATGGCGCTTTAATCATATTAAATAAGCAAAAACCTCTGTTTACATTATAGATACATGTGATTCCTGAATGTCAGTTAGAATTTATATGTAGATGAGAGTGTTGCTGTTTTCTAATTCAAAAGTTTAAGTTCATTAATTTGCCATTTAAAAACCTATCCACTGTAAAGTGTAATATCTTAGCAAGTAGATTTTTTTATAAATATTTTATGTACGTACAATTGTATTTTTAAAAAATATTAAGGTGTCAAAAGATACAATAACTTATTTTAAATATACAAAGGGATGTTTTAAAAAAACATACGAAATGCTAACCTCCGTGAAGCTGTAATATTCAAAATGTATGATTTGTTAAAATTCTTGCATTAGCGCAGAACCACTTATGTTATGTTATTACTAGACCTGGTGGCTTCCCAAAAACCCCACTCTAGACTAACAGTGAAACAACCAAAAATAAAAAATAATCATTTTTACTTGGGGGACATCTCAATATATTCACCCATATCTATCTTGGTTATCTTAAAAATAAGTTTATTATTACGGTTGATAAAAAACCATCAGAATATTAATTATTGTTATGAACGTTAATAAAATATTAAGTTTCTAATTACATGGGTGCATGACTTCAGCTTGAACGCGTCTTTTAATTATAAAAAGTTTAATTATTCCTATAGGGACCTTTTAATGTCAAGTGTAGCTATCTAGAGTTTTTTATTTAGTAACTTTTTGTTAATTAAAATTAATGTAGGGAGACAATAACAAATTTCTGGTTAAAAATTATATATAAGAATACACTGCACTGGTTTAGGTCTAGACAAAAATGTACAATGTAAAATTTTCAGACGGCAATTTGTTATGAGACCCAAAATGAAAATTGCTGTGATTTATTTAACTACACAAAAAAGCGAGAAAAGGCAATACGATAATTACGCAAACAGTTTTTTATTTAGTAACTTTTTGTTAATTAAAATTAATGTAGGGAGACAATAACAAATTTCTGGTTAAAAATTATATATAAGAATACACTGCACTGGTTTAGGTCTAGACAAAAATGTACAATGTAAAATTTTCAGACGGCAATTTGTTATGAGACCCAAAATGAAAATTGCTGTGATTTATTTAACTACACAAAAAAGCGAGAAAAGGCAATACGATAATTACGCAAACAGCAGCTTCAGGCATCAATTGGACTCATATTGGCTTCAAAATACCTAAACCGTTTAGCGATCACTCTAGAACGTATCAAATACATTAAGAAAAGGGATTAAAATAACACCCAGTAAATTAATTTATTTTTTGAACTTGATCAAGTTGATTTTCCTAAAACCTTTTTTATATTTTATCTTTTATCCTACAAATTGGGTTATAAATAAAAGTCTTTTTTGTGTTTGTTTTACCGTTACAAAAAATATATTTGCAAACGAAAACTCTTTGATATTTAAATTTATCAATTCAATCAAATGTCAAAGAAAATAAGAAACCTTTAAGAACTTTT